AATAGATAGATAGATAGATAGATAGATAGATAGATAGATAGATAGATAGATAGATAGATAGATAGATAGATAGATAGATAGATAGATAGATAGATAGATAGATAGATAGATAGATAGATAGATAGATAGATAGATAGATAGATAGATAGATAGATAGATCAGTTTTAATTCAGTCAGATCAATTTTAGAAACAGATATGTTTAATTAAATAGCAGAGCTCATTTTCCTGAATGTCTCTTTTTATCAAGTCAAATCGTTGAAAAGATGTAAATTAGAATTTTTGCAATTTGCGCTTCCAGGATTTAAATTTTCTTGCTGAAATGACAAGAGCCATAAAATATAATCCTGATTATATGAAGCACGTGTGAATTTCTTTTAAGATTTGCTTCTAAAGCAGTGGGTGTCTTTCTGTAATTTTATGTCCTTTGGAAACTGCAGCTTCAACAGAACAGTGCGACCCTTTGCTCCACTTGGGTTATATGTGACGTTCATTCTGTGTTTTTGGCTGCAGCAGATTAGGATTTTGTCTGCCTGCGATGAATTAATACTTTGGCAAATGCTCAAAATTACATGTTTATCTTGAATCCCCTTAGCTGGTCTCAAATCATATCAGAGCACATTCAAAAAAAATAAAAATAAAATAACGCAGAAGCCAAAGTTTACTTTAATATTTTTTGAAATTGTTTACATTTGAGCCAGGGCAGAACTTTGTCCCTCGTGACTCTGACTATAAGCTTTCCAGCTGCTTTATGTTGACTGGGAGAAATAAGTATGATTATCAAAATCATTTATTCCCCTCTCTGATGTAACATTTAGTCTAAAAATAAAACAGAAATATGTTAAGCCTCCTTTTGGTTTGACTCCTAGCATCTATTAACAGGGTTTTAACTTGTCTACGTCATATGAAGTTCTGGGAGTAAACAATCTATATTTTTCTGCTTTGCATGCAAAGGTCTGGAAATGTGCATTTGCTGATAAGTTCCCTGGATTTAATTTGAACTTACTGAGCAGCTTTCCTCCATCTTCATGTTTATCTGTTTGCACAACGGCCTGACTGCAGCGTCTAACTACCAAACAGCAAGAGAAAACTGCTCACTTTTGTTGTGAGTCTGTTTCAGTCATTAGCTTTTCTTTCTTCGTTCAGCTGCTCCCTTTTTCAGGGCTCACCACGGTGAACTAACTCGCACGAAGACCTGGCAATTATTTTTACACCAGATGTCCTTCCTGACGCTACCACAGCCCTCTGTGTGGAGCAGAAAGCTGCTTTGTAGGGTGCCCGGGGGGGTTAGAGCCTTGCTCAAGAGCCCAGAGTGGGACAAATGAGGGTAGAGGCAGGTGTATGCTTCACCTTTCCCACCCACATTTTGATGTTGTCGGTACTGGGAGTTGAACTAGCGACCTTGCTTCCCTTCTCTAACCTCTGTGCCACCACGCCCCCTATTAACTTTTATTTGTATGGCATAAAAATACATTTTCAGTTTATTCTGTAAAAGAAAAAAATTTTTTAAATAACTTATAAAAAGTCCCAAATTAACTTCACAAAATAATAATAATAATAATACTGATATTTTTATTAAATAAACTGCAGTCTTTTATACATTTCCTGCCTCCTACCATTGACTGGAACTTTATTCAGTTGGAACGAAGATGCTTAATAAAAATGAGTATTTTGTATTTTTGAGTGCTTCCTAAACACATTATTTGTAACTTTAGACTCTTTCATCTAATTCTGTTTTGATTAAAATCAACTATTTAAGAAGTCTTCACGTCACAGCACATTGTCACATTAATGTGTGATCTGATCAGGTCTGTCTGAATACAAAAACCATCTCAAATATGCAAAGTGCTGCCAGTAAAATATAAATTTTAGTTTTAGTTTTAAAAGTTATTGACAAATAATACATTTGTGACACATAGAAGTAGTAGCTGTTTTAGGGTTCATTTACTGTATTAGTTGTAATGGACTGAAAAATGGGATGGGGTGTGAGGACATCTGGTGGCAAAAACAACATTATGACATGATCATATGCCATCATATATATATCATATCAAATACATAACATTATCACAAGAAGTTCAGAAGGGTCTTATTACAGTTATGGTGTGTGTGTGTGTGGGGGGGGGGGGGGTTACAAACAAATAAGACAGTTCAGTTTTAATACAGATATGAATGATACATTCAGGGAGACATGGTAAATTCATAATTTCAGAGGTCATTAGGTTGAACGTCCCCTGTTTCCATCCAGGGGTCCCTGTGACATTTGTTGAGAAGTATAAATACCTGGGGGTGTTCATTACCAATGTACTGGACAGGACCAGGAACTCCGAAGCCATCCACAATGCAGGGACAGAGTCATCTCTGTTTACTGAGGAGACCGAGGTCTTTGAACATCTGTGGGACAATCATGAGGATGTTTTATGAGTCTGGTGGCTCTTAAGTGCTGAGGCAGCGGGCGCAAGTTTTCAGATGCCAGAATGAACAAAGCCATTGGAAGGTGACGGGGTGTTGGCGTGGAGATGGACTCACTGACTGTGATGGTGGAAAAGAGGATGTCAAAGTCTAAGACGTTCTTGAACAACACCTACCTGCTCGATGAGCTCCTCAACAGATGTAGGAGCTCTTTCAGCCAGAAACTACAACCAAGATGGTCAGCAGAGACACTCAGAATCAGGAACTCTCTGGATGCAATTTTTTTTTTTATCTGTTTAACTTCACCATTTTTATTGACTCACATTCTGGACTTGTCCTGTTTTTTTTTTTTGTTGTTGTTGTTGTTTTTTACACACTGTGGTGAATCTGGGCTTGTATTTCTTAAAGTGGCTGCAGTATTGTTGAATATCCCTGCAGGTACTGATACACTATTTATTTTCTATTCTATTCTATTCTATTCTATTCTGTAATTTTCTCTAAATCTGCATCCACTAGATGTCAGTGGTGACCTGACAAAAACTTGTGTGGCATGTTGCAGAAAAGATGTGTAAGAATTGAATCTGTATTTGTTCCCAAAACTTGACGTTTTAATAAAATAAAATAAATAAAATAAAATGCTCATTTTCAGTTCGCTTTCCGTTTATGCCTTGTCCGTTGTAAGGACAGAAAAATAAACATATCCAAGTGGGTAAATTTCCATCCATCCATTCATTGCCTTTACACGCTTCTTCCTTTTCAGGTCGCGGGGGTCACTGGTGCCCATGTCCAGCCATCGTACACCCTGGACAGGTCTCCAGTCCATCACAGAGACATATAGAGATAAACGAGACAAACATCCATTCATTCTCACCAATCATCCTAACATGCATGTTTTTGATCTGTGGGAGGAAACCAGAGTACTTTGAGAAAACCCACGCATGCACGGAGAGAACACGCCCAGAAAGACCCCCCGGCTGGGATTTGATCCAGTGACCTTCTCGCTGAGAGGCGGCAGCTCTACCAACTGCATCACCGTGCTGCTGCCCAGTGTGTAAATTTGAGTCAAAAAAAGTTAAATTGTGTCATCTGAAAACAAAACGTTTCTTTTTGGAAGAAACGTTTTGTCTTTCACCCAAAATGGCAGGCCTCACTCAGACTGATGAAGTCTTTCGGATGAAAGATGAAATATTTCTTCCAAAAAGAAACCGTACAGATGACACAGTTTAACTTTTTGTAATTTATGTTCATGGATGATTAAGCCTACTTACTCTTTTTCTTTTTAAATTTGACTCACCATTAGAAATTCATCATGTTTTCATCAGGGCAAATATATTTGCTGCCACAGTGAAAACAAAACCAGTTCAAGAAGGCTCTCATTTAATCTGTCATCAGCATTTTAAATAATATGCAACTATTAATGTATGCCTGTTATCAGGCTAACACCAACCTACAGATTGAACTTATGCATGTTTAGCTTACACTTCTTTCAGAATAAGACCGAAAATGTGTAAGAAACGTTGGCCACGTGTGCAGTAACTTATCTTCACCGCTAGGGAGCAGTGTCTATCTGACATCTGGAGGCGAAAAGGGTCCAACGACCGCAATGGAAACTACAAAGTGAGGATGGATGGATGGATGGATGGATGGATGGATGGATGGATGGATGGA